GATATTTTGGAAACCTTGAAGGCGAGCATCAGCCATGGAGCCAGCAATGCAGGCAAAGAAGATAAGAGCAAGAACAGCTTTCATTGTAATTGGTTTGTTTCGAACTTGATAAGTGAAGATGAAGATTGTAATGTGTAAAGACTCTGTAAAAACTAGTGTCCTTATATAGTCCAATCGTACATGATTCCTACGTAGATATGAGATCGTATCCATCTGTGCGCATTAAGATATTTACGAAAACGATAAGGCACAAGCAAATTAGAAACTTACAGAAGAGAACAACATTTACATATGTTTCATTTTCACAGCTCAAATATGCTGTATTTTTTAATGGATTTTTTCAAGGTTATATCCTTCGGTGTGAGTGATAAGAAGTATATCGCTTTCAAAATAATAGGTTTTCAGATGTGTGTCAATAAGCAGCTAAAGTTAATCTTTTTTTTTGTTGAGCATGATCTATAGAAGAATTTTGTTTGTCGACCGATTCGAAATACAATACTTGTTTTGCTTCATTATCGTTTCAATTCTTTTCCAATATCCTGAAGATAAATTAAACTTGTTATTTTCATTTTAACTCAGTAATATCTCGACTTTAATATAATGATCATCGCAAAATACAGCAACAATATTAATTAATTGTCATTAATTTTTATAAGTAGAACAGATAACAATAACGAATAGCAGATGAAATATTTCGTGATGAATATGTTGAATCATAAGAATGTTTTTATGGACATAGAATGACTTTAGTATCTACCTTGAATGCGTACTTTATATGTATTCAATTGAATTGCGAACAAATAAATTTATATTGAACAATATTGCTCTTTAAATCAAACTGTCAAATCGACACAGCCTGAGAAACTTTTTTTGGCATCTTATATTTTGTACGAATATATACTATGTTTCATAGTAATTCTTTCAACTTGAAATAATCAACTATCTGCAAAAATAACAAGTGCTTTTGTTTATTACTGAAGCATAAGTAATAAATCTTATTTCCGTTTTGTTAAAAGAGATTATTAACCATTGAATACATCGATGAAAATAGATAAGTATCTTTGTCTCGTATTCAATGTACACACCAGTACAACAAAATGATATATATATATATAATCTATAGATTTAAACATTTACATATGTATTTATTTTAAGAGATGATAACTTTTTTTATTTCCCAGAAAAAAAACAATGAATAAGAGCATGAAATAAGATATAAACTAACGATTATTAAATAAGATCTATATGTATGTATTAAGTTGATAATATAACTTAAAGTTGTCATTCAAAAATGTTTTGCCATTGGTTTAGCATCATTTGGATGAGTTTCCGTATGTGCTTTTGTTGTTATAACAGTTGTTGTTGTACTTGTTAAACGACGAGTTGCATCTTCGACACCAAGCTATAAAAATAAAAATAATTAATTTTCTGTTTTACTTTTTTTTTTTCATATGAATCTAAATAATTTACATGAGCAACTTTATCAGTGATTTCTTCAATTTTTGAATTTGCTTTTGCTTGAGCTTCTTTGAATACATTCTAATAAAAAGATTATCCAATTAAACAAAAAAAAAAAAAAATTAATCACCATTTTTAATCGATTAGCTTCTTCATTTAATGCATCAATACGTTTTCTAGCTGAGTCAAGAATTTGTTCTTGACGAAGATTTAAATCTTTTTCAAGTTGTACAAGTGTAGCCGCTTTTTCTTCATCAAGTTGATTAATAAATCTTTCAAAAAAATTTACAAACAAAAAAAAAATATTTTTATTTTGAAATTGAATCTTTTTTTTTTGGTTTTGTTTCTTTAAACTCACAACATTAATTTTTCTTTATATTGATTCTCAATTTCAGTTGATAGTTTTTCAGTATCATCAAGTAATTGTTGTTGTTGAAATTGTGTTTCATGAACAATTTTTTCGATACTATTTTTAACAGCTTCAGATATTTGATTATTACGACCTCGAGAATAATCATCAATTTGTGCATGTGTTGAACCTACAAAACAAAAACAAAAAAATTAACAAAAAATAAATGATTTTAAAACATTTAAAATTATTTTTTTTTTTTTTACTTAATTTAGCCATTAATTCATTAATTTTATTTTGTGAATGTCGAATAGTTGCTTTCGATTGTGTTTCACTACTAACAACCGATTTAATCTTCACATCATCACATATAACTGTATGAATATTGGCCTTTTTGTCAGAATTTTCACCATGTCCAGTAAGAACATGACTAACAGCATGAATTAACGACGACATTAGTTTGTGATGATGACTACCGTGTTGTATTGTAAGAAAATGAACGGATACGAGTTTTGTTTCTTCTCTTCTTTTTTTCTCTTTTTTTTTTCTACAAGAATGAAGAGAATGAACGCGAGGTCAAGTCATACATATATGTATAGATATTTTTCTGTTGCTGCTTTGCTTGGCAAAAGGGTATGGCGCACACAACTTGATTAAATAGTAACGAATGGGGTCAGAAGGACAATAATTAATCTGACCTGACTAAATGGTAGAAAAACAGATCTATATTTAGTTCAAAGAAACTATAATAGCAGGCAGTGTTCAATTTTGATTAATTTTGTCTTCAGGGACATAAAGAAAAATGTTTTTGTTTCTAGAAATTCAGTGTTTACTTTTTTCATTGTTACAATATGAGAGTGAAAGAAATTTCTCGAATATTTTATTAGTCATTATTTTATTGAGTTAATCAAATTATTATAATGTATTACAAGAAAATATGGGTATATTCTGGATGTACTATCCTATTTTTTTATATATGTTAGGTCATCTCGAAATGAATAGAATACGATGACTACGTTGTCATATGAGAATATAGAACGGAAGCCTATTTATTTTAACCTACAAAAAAAAAATAACAAGTTTCCTGTTGATCTCTATTTCACTAACGGCTAGTAATTTTATATGTCTATAATCTTATTTTGTTATAACAGTAAATTAAGTATGTGAACGTTATGTCTAGAAATGA